TAAATATAAAAACTCAAAAGAAGGAGAAAATATTTAGTCATCCGGAATTCTATAGGGAAGCGACACGTGTAAAGTGGATCAATCAAAGTGTATTGTGATGAGTCCACTTTACACGCAGCGCCTTCTTATTGGACTCTTGATGATATGGAGTCTTGACCTAATATTTTCTCCAAAAGATGTGTTAAACCACGTCAACTACCCAAATACTAATACCTAATCTCACCATTTTGACCAAAATAAATGAACCAACTAACCCAAAAAACACATTCATTAATTAAACTTAAAAAAAAAAATCAATTTACCAACCTTCTTTCAGAAAAACATATCCCCCCAAAATCTGTTACTTCTATATCCAAATATTCAAATCACTATAAATTTTGAAACAAATTTTCAAGCTCGAAGACAGCCTTAAAACAAAAAACAAAAAAACTATAAAGCATGAACAATATATAACAGCCCATCAAAACTCAAAACATTTACAGATTTGCCACTTCGCCGGCGGAGGGCTGGTGAGCCGGAACCGCCGCCGCCTCCTCCGGCGTAGGCTTGGTCAAGGCATGTAAGTGAACCTTGGCAAAGAGGCTGGTGAAGGCACCCGGCTTGCCTGAACCGTTGGCTCTCCCGCCGCCGCCCCCCCCGCCTCGCAGGCGGCGCACATGGAGAGGGTGGTGGCGGGAAGCTGCGTATAAAAGTGATGAGTTGACTTCAGAGCTCTTAGCTCCGACAGCTCTTTTTGAAGGCGACGATTTTCCTCCGCTAGCGCCTCGCAGCATCGCCTCATGTATTCGCAGTCCACTTCCGTCTGTTTCAGTTTCGTCCTGCAAACCCAAAGTTCAATTTTTTATTAATTAAATCATCTTAAACATAATATATTCTTTAATTTTTTGTAAAAATTACAAGCGAGAAAATTCTCCCAAGCAGAATCTTAACCTAATTTAATGAGTTTATGCATTCAAAATATGTATTTTTTATTTGCTTTTAAATGAATTTAATATTATTAGTCAATTAAGCAGTTTGGAAGACTTACATGCATGCCACTCAGTTCTTATGTATCTGCCAAACTAACCTAAACTTCAATTTTTAGGCATATGCCCCTTCATCTATGCATGCAAAGGTGTATTCACTTGAAAGATTTGAGGGGGATAAATGTAAAAAAGCAAAAGTTTAGGAGTTAGATATATTAATACAAGTATGCCCCCTAAATGAATTGATTATGAGTAATAAGAAAATATTTTAACTGTAACAGTGTTGGTCAAGGGGGCCTAAAAGGGTTTAGTACGTTCAAGCCTAGCATGAGCTGAGCTAAATCAATGAGCAATGTAGAGTGAGTTATTGCGAGTAAATGCAGTGCAAAAACCGAACTGCGTGATATACATTTGTTTTAATGAAAAGATTCTGAATGAGACGTTGAATTTTCTTTTAGGCACATACAGTATATAAAAGTCAATTGGTCCCAAAAAGAAATTCAATAATTCAAAGTCCATCCAAATCAATTTTTGAATCAGGATGTGAACCAATGAATCAAAATTATGTAAAAAAATGAAAGAAAATATTTCATTTTAGGGGCAATTTAGGGGCATTTACATAAATACCACCCAATTTCAATCTATTTACGTGTTTAAATTTTTATGGTTCAAATCCTTCGTGACCACCATTTTTACTTAAAAAAAGTGAAATACAAGGAAACATGCATTAATATGTAAATATATATGATTTGATTGGTATGTATGTAAATCTTCCGTTTAATTACGGTTAAGGAAGTTTTACAAGCCATGTTTACACATCAAACAACCATATCAACCAAATGACACCATTACTACTAATTTTTTTAATTGTGAAATGTGTTATACGTATTGTGTGGCATGCATATAACAAAATAACAATGTAAAATTACTTAAAAAAACAAAGGATTTAACTAAAATTTCTCATTTTGGGATATCATTATATTACCGGGCTCTTCGATTCTGAAACCAAACTTCCACCTGCCGCGGCCGGAGATTCAGCTGCTTCGCAAGAGCACTCTTCTGCTTCTGAAGCATTAATCAACCAGCAAAACAAAACAAAAAATTATATTTTTGCCCCATTTTCATACTAATTAACGTCTCACATCATCGTCTTCCTCCGACATCCATCCATCCACACAACAAAACTGGGCGGCAAGCTTACCGGTTTAAGCGTGCTGTGCTCCTTAAAGTTCTCTTCCAGGAAGGCGGATTGTTCCTTAGAGAGCCGAAGCTTCTTCCTCGCCCCCCCGTTCTCCTCGTCGTCGCTGAACCTCGACGACTCCGCCATCGCCGCCGCACATCGGAGATCGCCGCCAGAGCTGTTCACCTCCAACTCCCTCGCCGAGACCTCCAAGCTCCCTTTTTTATCCCAAAAAAAAGTAAATAAATCAATCAAAATCGATACTTTCATCATTCCACGAACAACAGTTGATTTAAAAAAGGAAAAAAGAAAAATCTTTCTTACTATCATGCATCTCCCGTGAAAATCCAGGCAGATGAAGGATGGGAAGAAGGAGATTAAGTCGCGCCGGCGGATCAACAGAACCCCTCCTCTCTTCTACCTCTCCTACCCTACATAGTTCTGCAGGGCTTCTCTCATCTTCCAAACTGCAAAATCCCAACTTTAGACTGGTGCTCGGTCTTCCGCCGCCGCCGCCGCGGGCGAGTGCCTTCTTTAATGGTTCGTCTGCTGGCCGGGTTCCAAGGCTCAGATCCAACTCCATCCAAGCCGCCGCCGGGTAAACCAACACAAGTGGGGAGCTGTAGAGGCGACCAAAGAGGTCCCTTTGGTTCTCTTGGAGAGAGAAACAGAAAAAAGAGGGAAATTTGATCATTTATGGAGAACCAACTGACTTTGACCGACAAACCACATGATGGTACAATACACGTGACCTGATAAAGGTGGGCAAAAGCCATTAAAAAAATGAAGATCGCAATTATTAATAAAAAATACCTTTTTTTTTTTTTTTTTTCAGGCTCTGCACCGCTGTCTTTCGCCAATTTAATGTTGCTGTAGAAATACATTTGTATGGAATATTTTTGGACCGTCGCGACATTATTTCTTTTTAAGGATGGCAGCAAGACATTAGTTTTGGTTGTTGACGGTGACGGCTGACCAGGGGTAGTGTCTGGTTAATTTAAATTTTTTATTTATTAAAATTTTATAAATTAAATAATATAATTAAATTATAAAACATATATATATATAATATTTATTTATTTATTTATTTATTTATTTTAAAGGTATGCATGACTAGCAATAAGCTTGCTTTGAGAATGTATGAGTTTACCTCTTTCTTTTTAAAGTAAATTGGTTAAAGTTTTATTTTAATATTCATGATGTGGGATCTCAACCAACCACTTATATTTACATATTCAATATAAAAAAATATATTTGTATCTATAATTGTAGTTAAAATTATATAAACTCAAATAAATTTTAATGTAAAAATATTTGCTAATAATATTTATTTATTATTGTATTAGTTCGGGCCAAATCGAGCCAAACCCTGACCGAGAACACGAACGAACAAATCTTGTTTCATGTTTGGCACAATTCACAATTATTAAATGAGCTCAAAAAAATTATTCTTGCTCGGCTAGCTTGGATAACGAAAGAATTGAACGCATCCTAATTAAATGCAATTAGGAGAATATCTTCAATAAGAATGTGTATATGAATTGTGTATTTCTCCAGATGAGTCAAATAAATTAATTTTGGAGGTTTGATTTTTTTGGTAATTTTAAATGCAAGGTCAGATACCTCTCCCATGCATGTACTCATCCATATCATCACTCGACATGAGTTTTAAATATGTTTTTTTTTTTTGAAAAATTGATTTAATTTAATCACAAATACGAACACATTATATATGTAAGTCCTTCAATCCAACATTGTTTGGTTGAAAGCCTAAATTCTCACCCAATATGTTATTTTCTAACTCAAAGAAGTACTTTCTTATTCAATAGAGAATTTTTTTACGCAACAAAGTACTGAGTTACTCAATAGTGTTATTAGTTATTCAACAAGATACTTCGTTACTCAGTGGAGTACTTTATTACTCAACATGATATTTTATTACTTAACGGAGTACTTTGTTACTCAATATAGTACTTCATTACTCGACAGAGCATTTCGTTTTTCAACAGTATATTTCATTGCACAATAGAGTATTTCGTTACTCAGGAGTGTATTTCATCACTCAACATAGTACTTTGTTATTCAACATAAAACTTTATTACTTAATAAAGTCCTTCATTACTTAATAAGATCTTTTATTACTCAACAAAATACTTTGTTACTTACTAGAGCACATTGGTACTTAATAGTCCACCAACAACGGTGAGCAAACGGTGGTTGATGGTAATTGATAGTGACCGACGGGTGATGGTCGATTGTAGTAAATGATTATGGAGATCAGATGTTATTATTGGATTTTCTTTCGAAAAATCACTAGAATTACACACCTTCTCTCCCCTCTCTTAAGTGAATAAAGGAGGTCTATTTATAAGCTCTAGGGGAGGGGTATCTTGGTCATTTAGCAAATAGCTCATGTAAGTATGTAAATAACTAATAGAATTGCTCACATTGATCCCACTTGAATTTATATGGTTCTTTTATTATTTGATGACCTTAATGATCTCATATTATGTAATCAAGGGCTCATTGGATTCCTCTCATCGAGACGCTCAATTTGATTATAGGTGTGTCTGAGTTTGCTTGACCATCAATTAACTATTCAAAGCCTCTAAATGTGATTCAGTGACTTGTTTTTTGCTTGATTGTACACAAATTAAATCAAATTTAGTATCATTGGTTTTGTCTTATAGAATCAGTCAGTTTGACTATTAGAATACTAAAATCAGAACATTTCTTATTCAAAAACTTCCTAGACATTCATGTTGATTAACAATTTTTTAATGTCATATCAGATGTCCCCTATTTTCAGGTGAGACTGATTTGGTCATCCAAAAATATTAGAATTTTTTTATTTTTTTCCTTTTCATTATTAGTATTTTTTGACGATCTAATGTGGTGGACAGTGACCGTCTGCAAGCTGCATGATAGTTTTTGGACTGACATGGGTCAAAACAAAGGCATGGGCCATGGACCAGGCAATGTGATGTTGTTCAAGCTGATGAGCATGAACCAGTGCGGGTTGGGTCGGGCTGAGATCGTGTCCCACAAAAGGCACAAAATCCTTTGAAGTTTCTTTGATGACTTCTTACTCTTCGTAGACACAAAAATCCTTTCACCCACAATTCACACAACACACCTACACAAGAGAGCCTCAAGCCCCCTCCTAAAACTCTTCACCACCAACCAAACCCTCCAAAAGCCCCCCTTTCGACCAGCCAATATTTTCCTTGAATAAATTTCTTAAAATCAGCAAGAGTCACTTCAAGCACCCCTTCAAAATTTATCCAATTTCATTGCAAAAAAAGTCCAAACTATTTCTGTCGCCTAGGCGCCAACCTTAGAGAAGCTTAGTTTAATTACCTGACGCTTAGGCGCCAGGTCATTCTTTGCTCATTTGCTCCATTTAACCCTATTTTGCTCCTTTTTTGCTCCTTTTGCTTTTAAACTCCATCTCTTGTATCTGAAATCCCTAAAATGGATGGTGGTCTGTCGGCGAACGAGGTCCAAGAAATAATCAGGTCGACTCGATGGGAAAATCCCTATGATTCAAAGCATACCGAGTCGTAAGGTTAAAGAGTGAACATCATATCCCAAATGGGCGATGACGAGTCAGTAATCAGAGCTGATGTGACGACATCAACAAAGTGTTAAAAGGAGACTGAGCTCAAAAGGGATTAATCAAATAAAATGATAGGAAATCCTAATCGAGTAGAGATAGTCGTCTCATGACTCAATGGATTCATCATCCTAAGTTATTAAGACCCCAAAACGACTTAGTCATGAAGGTAGTCAACCCAACCCGACCAAAGACCATTTCTCAGCAACCCATATGTTGTGTTGTTCAAGGAATCCCGAAAGACTTAAAGTCAAAGGTAGGAAACTCCTAAAACCCAAGACCCTCTATGGGTGGAATCATAGAATTTGGGCTTATACTCACCAAGAAAGTAGTAAGGATACCTCCATAAATAAGAAGAGTGAGAGGCCATCCACATCAAAAAGTCTCAAAACTAGTGTTTGTATCTTTTTTCTGATACAAACTCAACATAAAGACTCTAAACAAAATACATATAAAAGTAAAATAAGACTTGACTTGCAACAAAGATGTTAACACAAGCTATTTACATGCAACGTATAACGAATCATGCACTACAAGATGAGAGCAAGGCATCACCTGCAAAAAAATGGGTTAGCTTAAATCATTTCAGCTTCTCTCTGTTGGACATGGATCTCTACAAGAAAATTGCCCTAATATACTAATGTACATATCTCTCACCTCAGTAAACACACAAAAGCATCAAACAAAGATGTTCAGCTAGGTGCAAACCAATGAACAATAGCCAAACATATAAAAAACCTAACTTCATTCTATTATATTCTAACAAGCATCTAAAATAAGGTGACCTAAAACATGCATCTATGTGTGTGTAAAAGTGTAGCTAAGGTTGGGCATATGTTTTAGACGGGGTCGCCAATCTCCACCCTATCATTAGGATCCAAGAATTCTAATATGTGTCACTGAAATGATGATTTTATGTGAAAGATTTTAAATAAATGACCTCACATATAGTCTAATCTATGGATACATCAATTTCAAAATAGGTTTTGCAAAAATGATGTGTGTGTGTGTGTGTGTGTGTGTGTGTGTGTGTGTGTGTGTGTGTGTGTGTGTGTGTGTATATATATATATATATGTTAAAAATTTTAAAATATATCCTAAAGAAAGAAAAGTCGAAGTGACATATGCTAGACCTCTTGAAACCTTAACACAAACATATGTGTGTTCATCGTGATGTGATAATTTGCATTGCTCGCTGAGATATCCTCACAAACAATGTTTATTAGGGCATCATGATGCACAACAAGTCACTCATCTAACAAGGTCTATTTGCTATCAAAATAGACTAGGTAATGCACATACAAAATGCAGGGTGGCTTAACATATCGTGATCGCCCGATCAAGATGTGGATGATCGTGAATGATATGCTAAGAGGCTAAACTCGATGCAACTGCTCTATCGAGGTACGAGCAATCGTATAAGATGCCCAATGGTTTAGACATTAGTGTCATAATAAGTGGACACTCATATCCAGTCATATGTACAAATACATATGGTATGTCCATTTTGTGCTATCATACAAGCAAAACGATCATACGTGAACCAAGCAAACATAAGGTTATATATAAACACGTCATTGTTAGGTGAAGAGATTGTACTCATATTACCAAGAATATCCCAACAAAATAGTGTGCTAGGTGATTGTGATCCAAGCTAGGATAACTAAGATGGGTTAACACTAAGCAAGCTAGCCATCTCGAATATGCCATACCGGTCATCATGGGTATGTGGTGCATATGCTCAATGATAGGAGTGCTAGGTGTGCAAGTGCAAATGCATGATGCCGCACACATGACAGGCGATTCAGGCACATCAGGTACATGGTACCCTAAGGGAGATTACACCTTGCCTGAGAGGTACATGGTACCCAATTCTTATGTTTTAACATGTGATGTGATATTTTTTAGGGTATAAATATAAAAAAAAGAAGTTTTAAACTGCTTATTTTCATTATACCCCTCATAATTTTCATATCAAATAAAAAATATCATTATTTTAACTTAAAAAAAAGTGAAATACAATTCTATGCAGGCGTAAGGAAAAATATACGTAAAAATTGATA